CCTCTGGGGAAATGAGCCAGGATACCCTTTGGATAGGAAGCCAGGTGGGCCCCACAGCCAGAATCCTGTGCCCCTGCTGCAGATCAGACCTAGTCCGCACAGCCAGTAGTGGGACATTATACCGACTGAGCTATACTGGCTATCACATAAGATTTTGTATACTGTATTTTTAGCTTCTGTACATTCAGATGCTGTTCTGTTTACAAGCTGCTTCTTGTAACCAACAATAATATCTCAAAACTTAAGGATCTCTTTTATCAGGCTGTCATTAAGAAATTAGTTCATTTCATCAGATATTCACTGCATCAGGAAACAAGATCTCCTATATAAAGCAGGGTCATTGAATTAAATATGATTCAAATATCTGTCATTAAAATTCAGTTTGTGTCCACAACTAAATGACTTCACTTACTTACTGAAAATATAACTTAAACTTCCACCCTATACTGCTTCTTGAGGAATATGACACAGGCTATCACCACAACTACAGAGAGAAGGGCAATGAATGAAAATAAGAATTATTTTACTAACCTGCTAAATATCAACAAAATAAATATTCAGGCAAGTGGCAAATAGAGGAACACACACAATCACTTTTGGAATGGCAAATACAAGCAATTTACTTATGAATTACATACATATTTATCATTACTCTACCTAATTACCACCTACATTGTAATAGACTACAGTGTTTATATTTACTACAATGCCTGAGAAACTAGAGGTTTTTGTAAGTAAATGTGAATTACTTTCTAAAAAATTTAAATATGATAGACTATAACTGTCATGCAAAAACAGTCAAATAGTCACAGCACAGCCATGACAATGCCTTTTTGTATATACTGGGCACATGATTACCTCAGTCCATCATAAATGCAATAATGCAACATAGCTCCAAACACAAAAATTTATAATGACAAGTGAATTAACAACAAATCTGTGCTTTCATTACTAGGTGCATGAATTGACAATATGGGTTTTCCAGCTTATGTACATTTACCTGAACTTGTTCTTCTTCCAACTCCAACTTGATGGCATTAAGTTCTTTCTCTACCGAGGATTTCTACACAAAATTAAAATAAAAGCAAACATAACGTCAATACAGATACATGCTTTCTCGTTTATTATGGAGGAAAGACATGGTTAACACTACTGTCAAAAATCTAGCAAAACAATGGCAAAACAAGACAATTAAACCAAAGCTCTTTCAAATTCGGAAGGAACATATTCTTGTCTCAACTGAATAATTTTAATAACACAGATCATTAGATTTGAGGTTCACAGGGCAGTGAAGATGTCAACGTTGTTGTTCTGGGTTGTAACATCTGTAGACTTGTAAGTAAATACAGGTAACCCTTGATTTGCGCCAGTTCAATTTGCGCCGATTCAGAATAACGCTGATTTTGAAACCAGCAAGTCAAAAAGTGGGGAAAAAAAAATTAATACTATTATTTATATCGTTTTACAATGTATCTCGTGCAGAGTCTTATACTAAATCGCAATTCTTACATCGCTGATTTTGAATAAAAATCATAAATAGTCATCTCTGCAATTACGTCTGTTTCGTTAACGCGAATTTGCTCCAATGAGATCGATGAATCGGTAAAATCTGTTTGTGAAATGCAAACTTTTGCACACGCGAGTTTTCTCTTATGCAGTTTCATTCCTGGTGCTTTAAACTTCCAAAGGACTAATTTAATCTCTGCGGAGGTATCGGGGATATTTTTACTATACGATTTTCTATAGGTCAGCGTCTTATATGAATGCAACTATCGCATAACAGCAGAGATGGCTGTACACACCAATCACATGAAAGAATTGCAATCAATTGCGGGGACCAATGATCTGCCGATTGTATGTGTATAAAATATATTTTTTAAATTCCCTTTATTTTATTTATGTTATTTCAGAGCTTTAAATGTAATGCCATTATATTACTCGTCAATGTTTGGGTGCTGGGAACGCATGTCATTGACTTCCCATTGATTAACATTATAAAAGTTTCAATTTACACTGATTCCGTTTATGCCGGTTTGTCCAGGAACGCATACCGGGCGTAAATCAAGGGCTACCTGTACCAGCATTTTGTAGAAACACATAGCTCTAACTTCAGCCCTGAAAATGTAGGCAGTATGTTTCTCCAAAATGTTGGTATCTGCCTACAAGTCCACATGCCACCACAGTCCAGAAATATAACACTGACAAGCCATATCATGTCTCTTTTAACCAAACTTCTACTCAATATATGTCATTCCTAACAAATTTAAACAAGAAATATGTTTCTGTAAGGAAAAAGCATAACTCAAAATATGCAATACATTTATCTTCTTTTAATGTTTGTAAACTAGTCATTCAAACTAATATAGCACTGCCATTAACAAAATGCATTTATAAATCTGGTTACACGTTCAACAACAACCCATCACACTCATGTTTATAAAAATTAATATTTCAAATGCATTCAAGAAATAGTTTTGAAGTGAAAATTCAGAATCTTTGAGGATTTTTTTTATTTTTTTATTTGGTCTACTCTCATGCCACTTTGAAGAATGAAAAACTTGAAACAAAAAGAAATTACCTATACTGTAATTGAATTCTGTATCTAAGAAAGGGAATGAAAGAAGTTTATTACTTACAATCAATTAAAATTCAAAGTTTTACATTACTAAACTAAACCTTCTAAAATTTCTCTGCTAATAAAGCCATCCCATTATGTGCCCTGTAGGTGCACAGGGGAGAGGTCAAAAAGCTCCTACTTATTCTCAACCTCGGCAATAGATGGGGACGAGTGGTCAACATCAAACCTCAGCCATGCTTTACCCCCTGGAAAGGACCCCAGTACACACTGGCTTGGATGCAGAGGCTACAAGAAAATCCTCTGTGTCTATCAGGGATCGAACCCCTATTGTCCAGCCTGTAGTCAGTCACTCTACTAACTGAACTACCCAGATAATATTCTCTGCTAACATAATATGCACAGTAGAAAGGCAGCATGTAAAATTCTGCAATCAAAATCCATGTTTTAGGGATTTTTATGCTACTGAATCAACCAAGATAGATCTGAATAAATACCAAACAGGCCAACCAATTTCAGAACTTAACACAGACATCCTTAAGAAAGATAGCATCACGCTTACGTCTATAGCAGTCGTTAGTCAAATAAAGCATTACGAATTCATTTAAGATGCATTAAGAAAATTTGAAGACTGCAACACACTGGAGTTTAAACACAACACTAGGACCCATATATACAATAGAAATATTTTCCATAAAATTATATGAAGGATACACAGAGTTACGGAAGGTCAAAATAAAGCTCGGATATTTTGCATGATTATAAACTCATAACAAAATGTTACAATGCAGAACAATAATTTAACCTGTGTTCCATTACAAAAATGGATTTCACAGACTAGAAGATAAATAATGACACAGCACAAGACAAACTGTGTCTTGAGCAAATGCTAATATCAGAAATGATAAATTTCAAAGTCTACACAAAAACAAAAGTTAATTCAAACCTGCCAACTTCAGACCGTTAGAGCATTATGATAAATTCTTTTTGTACCTCAGGTCAAACACAACTGCTTTACAGAGCAATGCATGCTGCCTATGTAAGTAAAGTTTGTCGCGCTATGTGCCATACAGGCGCTTGGGGTGAGTGGAGGTATAGCTCCTCTCTTCCTTGATCTCGGCACTAGATAGAGGTGAGTGGTCACCACCACGCCCCGGCCGGCTTTACCCCCGGGAAAGGACCCCAGTACCCATTGCAGAGGAGGCTGGGTGGGCCCCAGAGCCGGTCTGGACGCAGAGGCTAGAGGAAAAATTCTCTACCCCCGTCGGGGATTGAACCCCGGTAGTCCAGCCCGTAGCTACTCACTATACTGACTGAGCTATCCCGGCTCATTGCCTATGTAAGTGCTACTAATAATTTTGAATGACCTGCCTGAATTTTATTAAATTAGGTATGAAGGTCATCCTAACAACACATATTTTTAATTCCTATCTTAAAAGACCCTATAGTAATGTGGTGGTCATACAAACTTTTGACATGAAACGAAATGAATTTAACCTTTCTGTTACTTGCCATCCACACACAGTGTTGTGAATCAAGAAGAATAGGATCACAACAAAATGTAGTAAGCCTTATGTTTGGTCAGGCTAGCATAGGTTATGCTACTTAACTAACCTAAAACAGAATATTTTACCAACACACAATGACAGAAAAATGACACAATGATATAGCAGATAACAAGAAGTCACCTTGGTCTCCACGTTCACCAGACATAACACCATTGGATTTTTTCCTGTGGGGTTATGTCAAGAGAAATGTGTTCCGAACACCAGTTAACGGACTTGATGACCTGAAGACCCGTATCAGGAATGCGATCTCGGCTATTCCAGTGGACATGCTCCACAGAACATGGCAAGAGCTCAAATATTGTCTGGACATTCTCCGTGCTACCAAGGGAGCCCACATCAAGGTCTACTGAGGTCAGTAAAAAACTTCCAGAGTTTCACTGTAATCTGCCGCAAACCGCATGTGGCTAGCTCAATTTATTTGCGCGCCACAATTTTTCAAAACCCCGAGGGGACTTCGTGGACACACTGTACTACCCTCATACGCTGCATGAGATTTTTCTTCTAAGAAACATCTTGACTCTTCTTGCAAATGAAAAACTGTCCAGTGATCTTAAAACTTTGGTTACCATAATGATACATAAACTTTACTCCAGTATCAAAAAAAAAAAAAAAACTATACCAATTACTGAAGACATGACTAGATACAAGATAATGCACATGCTGTTTCCAGCAGGCAGCTTCAAATAGTAATAAAATGCCAGGCAATACATGCTAAGCAAATACTGACACATTATGCTGTAGTGCCATGTTGTATGAATCCTATACATTACCTGTCCTTTGAGATCATTTAGGCGTTTTTGTGCTTCTCCTTTTTGGTTCTCCAGCTGCTTTAGTGTTGCTGCCAATGTATCAAGTTCACTCTGTTCAACCACAAGACATTTTCTTTAAGACAGGCTATACAGTTACAGCAAATTCACCATTGTTACAAACAAATATCATGAATATGAAACTTTGTTTCACATCAGCCCCTGCAGTAAGACTCCCTAAATCCAAAATAAATTATAAACAATTTTTCCAATGCAAATGTATACCACAGGAATACTTTTCTGTATATATATAAAAGAGGTCCATTTTTGTACTTTATTATCTGAAAATCATTCTGAATGAAGAAAAATACATTCATTATTCATCTCAGTACTGAATACAGCTTTTAAACACTTTCTGTGATATATTCAGTATTTACTGAACTACTTTTTCTTCTAGTATAATTTCCATTTGATATGGGTAGATGGAGTCAACTGAATCTATAATCTACAGCATTCACACTTAATATGAAGTGCTGATCATGTACAATTTGGATTGAAAAATACACATACATAAAATCTATGTACCTAAAGCAATGATGCACAACCAGTGGTCTGTGGTACACCAGTGTGCAATGGAGGCCATCAAGATATGCCACGAAATTTTCACCTATCACCTGTCTTCAATTTCACCACGTATCGATCTTATTTGCTCAACAAAGCAGGCACAAATATCACACTGACAAGCAAGTGAATGTAAGCTTCCTTTTGATTCACTAATATTAACCTTTTCAAAATTAAATTACTACCATATAATATACGAATACTTGTTTATAAATCAGCTTATAAATATAATCTGCTATCCTCTCTAAAACTTAAATACTCAACAAAGGTTGTTGTGATTTGAGCATGTAAAACGTTTTAAGGCTTTTATAGACAAGAGTCTAATTTAATTCTGATCATCTCCAAATATTCATAAATGTAATTTGTTCTAGCTGTAGTCGCATTCAATTTTTCAATTAAATATTGTTACTTTGTACAGATGTTCTCCTAATTTTATATCGACAGTAAATGGGATCCACATAACTATTAAATGGATTACAGATTTTCATAATTAGTTAATTATTAATGACTGGTTTTATTTTAAATCTAATATTTTCTCTGCTCACACCCACTGTTTGTAAATGACGATTATATCCCATAAAATATTCCATATGCAGTTGGATCTTTGGGTCGCAGGAAACTGATTTGAACACTGAAATAATTACACATAATCTACATGTAAAAATATGAACAGCAACTTTAAGTTTAAATGATTACAGATAGTTGATAAATTTTGGATCAAACAGTAGGAAATATTATATTTTAATTCATTTAAAATAAATGACATAATAATAAAAAAGTTGGATAATTATGAACATAAAATAGAACATTTTTCAGTTGGGGTCGATTTATATGAAGTTGTCACTGCCAATCACTACCATAAACCATCTAACCCCCCCCCCCCCAAAAAACAGAGTGGGGTTGGTGTGCCACCATGACTTTTCAACAGTATTTAGTGTGCTGCGAGTGTAGAAAGGTTGCATCTAGAGAAATAGGTGGGTGAAGCAAATAGGCTCTCCTATTTAATTGCAAAGCTCTCCTGTGAATTCAGTCTACAAATTTCACATTAAATAGAGCTAATCAATTCCTTTACTAATCATGAAAGTTGTAAACTGTAAGACCTCAGAATAAATATGAATTTTTAGGTTTAAATGCATCATGTTTGTGTTTTATAATTAAAATATATAATAAAATTCAGGTCAATACACAAACTTTATTTAGATGTTAAAATTTAAAATTTGCGCCATTCATCGCTACAACGATGTTACAATAGAGCGCCTTCATTCACTACATGTTTCGATGCGAAGCATCATCTTCAGGTGTTATCCTTTAAAACTACTTTATATTACAATGCATGTCTTTCAATTTATTCGTCCGTTTTGTTCATTATTATAGGTCTTTCAATTTATTCGTTCGTTTTGTTCCACGAACAGACAGTCAACCTGAGAAGACGTAGATACACCGTACAACACGATTCATGAATAATCAAAAACAAACATAGGATGCATAAAACGGGAGGATCAGCGGAGCACATGCTATAATAATGAACAAAACGGACGAATAAATTGAAAGACATGCATTGTAATATAAAGTAGTTTTAAAGGATAACACCTGAAGATGATGCTTCGCATCGAAACATGTAGTGAATGAAGGCGCTCTATTGTAACATCGTTGTAGCGATGAATGGCGCAAATTTTAAATTTTAAATTTTAACATCTAAATAAAGTTTGTGTATTGACCTGAATTTTATTATATATTTTAAATATGAATTTGTATAATGGTATAATTGAATTTCAGCTATACCCAAACATATGCTGTAACAAACTGTGTAATAATGTACTAAAAACAGCCTCTTATTCACACACTTCGAGGACTCCGAGAGCGAGCAAGAGTGCGCCGCCAGAACCAACCAGACCACTAGCATGACCCTTTTCAGGGCCCAGATCCATCCAACCAAACTCAACCTCTCTCTCTCTACTTTCTCTCTCTCTCCCACTCTCGCCCACATGCTACCATTGGTCCACCCCCACGCCTGCTCCCATTGGCTCAGGGCAGGCTACACATTTCACTTTCTGGCCCTATAAACCCAACACCTCACACCCTATTGGCATATTCATCGCCCTGATGATGGAGGCAGTATGACCTCTGAAACGTTGGTTAACATCGACCAGACTACACAGCGCAACAACCCAGAAGACGGAAATCTTCATACTCACCGCTGTGAGAACCTCAAGTCTTACACGAGATGGAACTTGATTTGATAGGAGTCAAGAGGAACGGAGGTACATATTCAAAAATTCTTATATTGGACATAAGATGCAAGCAACTGGTAGAATTCATGCTCCATCCGTTTTAACCATGCAGAAGTAAATGGGTGCTTTTCAGGCGGGTTAGTGTGTGGAGGTGCAGTTTTTTGGATAAAAATTTATGTAATGGGAATCTAGATAGGAAAATACCTACCTACTGTAATGGAAAATTCTCATCACCCACACTCATAAGCATATGTTCATTACAGAATATATGTAACATCAAAACTACTAGTAATATTATAAATGTATACATTAGGTAAATATGTGTCTTTTATAAATATCCTAATTAAGAAAACTTATCTATAATTAAAAGAGAAGAGACTTGCCTGCAAGCTTTTGATTTCACCATTCTTTATTTTAATATCAGCTTCCTTCTGTGCTATGTCAGTCTCCAGTGTATGTTTTTCCTTTCCAAGTTCTTCAATGTCTTTGGTAATCATATCTAATTCTGGATTTGAATATGGTGCATTACTGTTTTCCTACAGAAACAAAAAAATATGCTATCGATTAACAAGAAAAATCACTGGGAAATTGTGGCAGTGCAACCTTGACAAAGAAAATGCTACTGAAAGGAACCATGATAAGGTTAGTAACAGACAATGCCTGCATCCACACTTCTACTAAAAAAAAGTGATAGTGGAACCACGGTTCCGGAGAATTAGACGTAAATACGTCTATATGGAAAGGAAGTTTATATATTGGCTTTATTCTAAATATTTCCTTTATACATGCTTTACAATTCAGTAAAGTTTGATTAAGACATTGCTTATTTAATTTGAATTAGTTATGCTTAAGATGGGTCTGTGGTAGCTGAATGTAATGTAATGTAAGGTAATGTAATGTAAGATAATGTAATGTAATGTAAGGTAAGGTAAAGTAAGGTAAGGTAATGTAAAGTAAAGTAAAGTAAAGTAAAGTAATGTAATGTAATGTAAGGTAAGGTAAGGTAAGGTAATGTAAAGAAATGTAATGTAAGGTAAGGTTATGTAAGGTAAGGTAATGTAATGAAATGTTTTATAGGTAACAACAATGCTAAGTAAACAGATGACGTTTCCTTGGTAACAATAATGCCGAGTAAACAATTGACGTTTGCTAGGTAAAAATATTGCCGAGTAAACAATTGACGTTTCCAAGGTAACATAACAATGCAGTTACACTTTTTCCTTTCACTTTTTCGTTTCACTTTTTGCCGAATGACACTGACCCGAAAATATAGACGTATTTACGTCAAAATATGTAACCTGCAACAAAGTTTTGTTAACCAGTCAGATGTTCCAATTAAGATATCTGGCACACAACTTTGATCTGTGATTGGTTTGAAAGAGATATCTCACCAAATTTCTGTTGAAATACATATGGTTAAGCTTTCAGCTGCTTGTTCTATAGCTTGTGTTGGTTTTGTGACAAGTGAAAAATAATACAGAAATTGTGGAGAAGATTTTCACAGATATGACAGTCATGGATATTTTTAATTACTGAAAGAATAAAGCACAGGCACTGTTAAAAGACAACATTCATATAAAGATAAATACATTTTCATGGTGTAGTTCATAATAAAGCACAGGGACAACTTAAAAATGTTAGTGGAAAATTTAATTAACAGAACAGTATACAAAGCACCAGTAAAATACCAAAGTTTGTAATGCACAGCAATGGTGTAAAAAATGATGAAATGGAAAAATAATTTCAGTATTGTTCCACCAGCTAACTATGAGCCCCACATTGTACGTAAATTTGGCCCATGTAAGGAACTGTTATAAAAATAATGGAAGTGTAGCTCACATATAACATTAATTTAAACACTAAATAATGTGTTCAATTTTTTAAGCATCTGATAAAAAAAGAAAATATTCAGCTCTGCATTTGTTACACATGTATATGATATCTTATAAATTACAAGAGAAGTAATACAAGTTCAATTAACCTCACATTTAAAACTCAAAATATATTTTCTTTCATTTGTTTCTTGAAGTGCACACTGATGGGTAAACAATAACTGAGCAACACAGAAAACAGAATTCCCCAGTTTCATGCCAACTGTTGTTTTTAATAACTAAGTGCAATTAAAGGAATCAATGTAAAAATATAGGTATTGTAACATAATGAATCATGCATTTTAAAAACTACTACTAGTGGGTGCTTTACTACTGAAACTGATTCTTATTTTTAAAAACAGGAATAACAAAATGTTCCAATAGCCTTTGTACTTTTGGTAAGGATGTCTTTTAAGATCATATCCAAATTCAAATTCAGTCTCTGCCTTCAAATGTTTCTTTTCTGTGCATACTGATTGGCAAACAACAATGAACAAACAAAGTAAACAGAATTCCTCAATACCACAACAATGGTTGTTTTCAAGTGAATGCATGTCAAGAAACCAGTGTCAAATTATGGTTAATTAAACTGAAATATTGTGACTGTCTATTAAGAAAATAATAACACAAGTTCCAATAACCTATGTACTTTTAGTAAGGCTGTCTTTTAAGATCATATTACAACACAAAATATAGTTTCTGCTTTCAATTGTTTTTTCAGTTCACACTGATGGGTAAATAACAATGAGCCAACAATATAAACAGAATTCTTCAATACCATAGTAACAGTTGTTTTTTACCACCACCAACAAATTTAGTCTTTTGTAACCTAAGAGACTCAGAAGAAAATCTAAGAAGCAACTGGTAACAAAGCAAAGTAATCCGGAACAAGGTATTTGACAATTGAGCATAATGAAATTCTCAACTGTCTACTGCATTATTATCTTAGTCCTAATACAGCAACAAAGTGACGGATTCCTCTTAAACAAGCTTAGGAAAAATATCAAAGCTTTTATGAAGGGAAAAAAATCACAATTTAGAGAATACCCTTTGATAGGGGGATTAGAATACCCTGGCAATATCCTTGCACTGCAAGGGCGGATAGAGAAGCTATGGAAAGAATACTACACTTGCCTGAAGAGGAAATATGAGTTACTGGGACCACAGAAAACAGTAACACCAGAAGCCATTATGGTGTTTGAAGGTTCTTCTATAAGGTAATAAATACAGTTTGTCACAAAGTACACCTAAGAAAACACAGACCAGGAATAATAATATAACTTACATCCTCTACCAAACCATGTAAATTTATTAACACATTTCTGTTTTAAGAAACTGTTCCTTCTCAGTTTATTATAGGCAACTCTCGGTTTATGAATGAGTTCCATTCCAAGACGTTTGTTATACGTTTTTGTTTGTTATGTGTATCTTGCATGCCTAAGCTTTTACGATATGTATCAAATATGTTAGCAGCCATTTCAAGGCATTAAAACCATATACTAAACATCAAATGGTATATACAATACTTTTATTATAATGTATATATGTGTTATGCGAGAAATTATTCTACGCTGCGTGGCATGTAAACCAACGTTCTTTTACTGGCTAGATTAGTTTCATTAACCAAGAACAGTTCAGTATAATTATCATATAATAAGAAGATTTCTGTCTTCTGCGTTGTTGCACTGTGTAGTCTGGTCAATGTAAACATCGATCAGACTACACAGCGCAACAACCCAGAAGACAGAAATCTTCATACTCACCACTGTGAAAACCTCAAATCTTATATATCACATAATAATTTTATAATAATTATTGTAATAAATACATTTTTTAAAAGTTTATTTATTTAAATCTTACAATTATGTTCCCTATACATTTGACATTTCATTTTATAAGGAACTCTATCTATTGGTGCCTAAAAATTTTTGAATGATTTGTGACGTTCATCATAGCAAATGTTCGTAAACCGAGAGTTGCCTGTGTACTGTATGTACAAAAGTTAATCACTCTTACCACAATTATTAACTGTTGGTTCTACATTATTTCAAAGGTATTTGAGACACAAAAGGTACAGTTGGTCTTACAACACAGATGTTTCCATGAATATGGAGGTATCCTTACAATTTAACAATTGTTAATTCACAACACACACAATGCCTGTAGAAAATTTTAATTTCACTGCCTACTTTGGAATCAAATTTAAGATATAATATGAAATATAAATTGTATATAATGTTTAAAACATTTGCATTTTTTAAACATTTGGAGTTTAACTCTGAAAACCTTCTACTGCTTAGATGATGATTTTGTATATATCTGACCACTACAGAATATGACAATATTAATACTAACATAAATTAGGTAATGCAACTTAATAAAATGTATGCACTGAATGTGAGTCTACAAATAAATGCATTCTTCAGATTGGACTGCAAAGTATGCATCTCTCCAGCTGAAACAAACACATTTAAGAACGTGACATGGTCCTACAATACCATTCCTTCCAATGAAGCTACTGTGATTAAGTATGGAGAGCATGCACAACTTTCACGAGAAGACAAAGTCCTACACATGAAAAATCTTGAAGATGAGAATACTGGTCTGTATCTATGCAAGAATGGAAACACTGTGACAGCTTCATACTATTTGGAGGTGACAGATGCATCTGAACCCTTAGCGAAGGCTAGTCTCTTTGGTTATTTTTGGGAAGCATATAAAGTGAACACAACATAGAGTTCAAGTATATCTAACATATCATTTCCAAAACTACAAAACAGATTTTGATGGAAATTGAAACTGGGGTCAGTCTACACTACAAATTGTCAAACAAATTTAATTTTGGTTTATAGCAGTCTTAATAACAACTACTTTATATAAAGTTCAAACAGAATTTTACTGATTATCTAAAATGTCTCATCATGCGAAAAAGTGGCATAACTGACACAAAACAGAATGGCACTTGCAAGTTACTTTCACATTCATCTATACTTTTGTTTGTAATGGTACATAAAGTCAAATCCTCTTACAATCAAGTGCCACTGACATAAAATAGTTAATTATATATAATTAGATACTGCAAGATCTACAGTTTTCATCTTAGACATTTTCTGACATGGTTAATCTTTAACAAGATTCAAGGGAAAATAGTTTCTGAATCTGAAGCGGCGTGGTTAGATCTGCAACAATAGATTTACTACCTGCACAAATGAACATGAAAGTTAGGCCTGCATAAATTTCCTATAACTTTAGGACCCAAATTCAAAAACTAAGAGCCAGAATATATCAGAAACATAAATAAGGTTTATGTAAATTTATTCACTAATGCTGAAGCTTTCACCTACACAATAGAATCAAATTACAAGCCGTGAATTTGAAAATGTTACATAATAAAATACAAAACCATTTGAAAAATATGTAGAAAATTCTAGGCACTATCATGAACATTTTAGACATCTTGGCAACCTGGCTGCAGGGATTTGTGCAGGCCCGATGAAGGCGCAATGCACGTTGCAGAATATGTATATAACACATCAGATTTTGGACACAACTTTCCTCACATTCAGCAGTTCTTGAGTTGTTACATGATGCCAGACATGGCAAAACTATCAGTTACAATTTTGTTTATAATGCACCTAAAAATAACATCTAGGTTCATTTACAACACATTCTGCCCAACAGGTGAGACCAAAAACTGCTCCGAAAGGACCATATGAAAAGCCTCCACAAGTTGTGCCTGGCCATGACATTCAGGTGTTTACACAGTGGCAAACATGGTCACCTTGTAACAAGTGTGGCGAAGTTGGTAAGAAAGTACGATTTGGAATATGTAACGTGAAGTTGCTGCATGATGGTGACTTAAAAACAAATACAGTCAACATACCAAAAAGCATAAAACCTTCCAGTGAAAAATTAACAAATCAAGCAGCAGGAGTAATTGGAACTGAAGAGAGAAAAGCTGTAAAAATACTGACACTGTTTAAAGGAGGAATACCATGTCGATCTTCATTGTTACCACCAGAGTTACAATCTATTCCAGAAATACTCACACGTAAAAGTGAAGTTATGGTAGCCTTCTGCAAGGTAAGTGTGTGTCACATTATGCGGTCACTAGCTACATAAAATAATATTACTATAAAAGTTCCAAAATTAAGGGTAATTTGTATATGCACATAATTGTAATGTACACAAGTCACCTTTTATATGAATTCAATTAAAATCAACTTCTGTTTAAAGAAAACTGCTTCTGTTGAATATATCAATTAATTATGTACATGTAGTGGCATAAATATCAGAATACAGATAATATAGGTACAGGCAGCAACTGCTACTTGGCTCCATTTTTTTAAAAAAGGCATTAAAAATAAATGCTTCACATGTTATACGTGTAACACCATACTGTAATTTTAATAAATACATTTCCAGTAGAGATAGGGAATTTGTACCATGTTAAATCCATTTTCTTACATGCCAGAGGATGATGATACTGTTCAAATTATGGACTTAGAAACTAAACTTAACTTTTGGTATACACATGATAAAGAATCACGATTATCTATTCTGGAAATTAAATACTTGACTTGATACACTGTGTAAGTTGTTATATAACTGATGTATAAAAATAATAAACTTTTTATGCTTACTACCTAAGGAAACCTGCCTAGAAGACCTGAGTATATTTGAAGTAGTGGATGAGCATGGCAATGTTCTTGAAACTGCAAACAATTCTGATGGAATATATTCCAAAGGACAAGATCCCTCTCTAATAATTATTAAAGTTGAAAGCAGAACACAGTATGAAGACACAAACACACCCAAAGTAACAATACGATGCCCTGGGTATGTGAACTTACATCAGAATAACAGTATCTTATTTTAATTAAAAATTATTTAAATAAATTTATAAAGTAAGCAGACTCCAGTCCATCTGAATCAACCATATAAGCTGCATTCAAAGTATAAAGTCTCCTAATTTACTGAACAGAAAAGACACAAGGCACAGAAATGAAAGTTACATTATTTTTGAACCTAGTCAGATGAGTTGGACACATTTCATATCACACTACAAAGTCAGTGGCAAAACATTCTTTCAGGGTGTATAAGACTTTTGGTGAAAATGAACATTCTGGAGTAAGTATAAGATTTAGAAGAATTCTTGCACTTAAACAGCACAATAGGAGTGTCATGATAAAAGTCACACAGATTCATTAAATGCGAGCATCTCCACCACAAGCTACAGGGAGATTAGTAAATGTTGTTGATGTGTTCTGATGCTGTGTGAATTTGTAGGTAGATATCAATGTTTTTGGAGAAACAGTCTGTTGCCACTTTCAGAGCTAAGTACAAGTAACATGTTCTGCAAAACTACTAGGTAGATGTTTAGAAATGCACTGTGAGGATGACTCCATCAGCATGCTACAAAATTTAGATATTTTCTCTGTAACTACATCAACATACAATTTCTTCAGAAGCAATGAATCTTTGTGTTTCCATTTACTGAACTCTCATTTGGTCTCCAGATTGTGGCATGTACATATCATCCATGGTGATAAATGTCAGAAAAAATGCAGCTCTGAAGTGAAGTACTACTACATTGCCATATGCACATTTTGAGGATAACTATATGCACAGAGCCCATGAATGTGTCAGTCAACACCATAAGCTCTTCCACAGTTATCCATCTGTTCTTTATAACTTTCGCTTCAACCCAGGCAACTTTGCCCTCAAAAATGAATATCTGTAGTCTTGGTTCACATCACATTGCTCTATCAATGCGTTCAAGAACCACCTCCACTCCCTTACATGTAATTTCTGGAAATAATTTCCCATCTAACATGGTCACCAGAACCTCTTATATCACCTCCCTTCCTCACCACTGATTCATATATAAATATTCCACATCCTTCTCTCCTAACGAACAGCAGGCCCACTCTTCTGCTCCACCAATGAGCACTATCAACTGACTCACCACCTACTGCCTGCCCTATGCAAGGCTTTCAAACTCACCTTACTATGGACACACCGTAAAATGGCAACTTTTACCAAAATGTTGGTTGGTTTATACTCAACACAGCTCACAACCAAAAGCCAGAGCTACACATCCCACTATATATATACTAATGCTGAAGTATATGAATACAAAAACATATAATCCAATACAAAACTATACTTAAACCATGGGCCTTTTATTTCAGACATTTAAATACTGACATACCTGTGCAATGGCAAATTGGAACCAAGATTATTAATCCAATAGTGATTGAGAAAGAGTCTGGTGGTAGAATACGCATTGATACATATGGTCGCATCAAGTTGAAAAGACCACGACTTTCGGACTCCAATACATACAGGTAACTATGGTACTGGCAATAACTACATCATAATAAATAATAATTTGAAAGATTACTTAACACTAAAGACACAACATACACACTCATTAGTCTTGCCAGATCCTGCACAAAAACATCAGTCACTTTACTTGGCAGCCATCATAATGCAGTTAGAAATATGAGTATTATAAGTGAAAACATATTAAAGAGTAAAAATTTAAAATTATGCCAATTATGTAATGTCAGATATGTCTTAAACTAATCATCCATTTAATTTCATCAAAAACAAAAATGCTACACAAAACATTTATAAATATACTTTTATCATACCAATTGCTCATTTTCAACTCATTATAACCTTTGTGTCTAGAATATCTTTATAAACCAAATTGAACAAAAGGAAACAAAAACCTTTAAGAAATCAAACACCCCACTTAGAAAGCAAAAGTAATCAGCAGTCTGTCCTTACTAAGTTAGATAAGATGTCAATATGAGAAGAATTCTTGAACAATGAACTGAACAGTACTTATTTTCTATACAGATCTTCCAACCTCAAAATAAACAAAGTCAAATGAAGCCAATGCAAAAATTTTACCAAAAAGTCTCAAAACCTTCTGTAACCTGTAAGAATGTCATCCCAATCTGTACATTTCATCATACATAGGGACTGAGTATAGTTGTTCTTCTGTCTTTTTTTTCAGCTGCAGGCAAAATAAAATGTTGGTTGGTTCAGTGCAACTAATTGTTACAAGAAAAATAGAAACCAACTTTTATGACTTAATCATGTATTTTGGTCTGGCTGTCATCATTGGATCAATTGTAATTGTAAGCTACTGTATATTCAAAAACAGAAAGCGGTCATCAGCCTGAATAGAGTATAATACACCATGACAAATATCAATGTATATAATATAGTTATAAATAAAATTTAAAATTCATAAATTACTTTTACACCTCTCTTCATTTATTAGCCTCACTGTTTTATTTGTACACAGTGCTCTGTTCTTTGTAACTATGCCTCTTGTTCTCTAGCATTCCTGGAACTTAACCATTTCCAGTCAAATTATCAGAACCATATGTCCAACAGCATTTGTTTGAAGATGGAAATTAAATTGTTGAGCATTTAAAAATAGGCAGAATTTGGTTTCCTCATGACAGAGCAGGATCTCCATTTCATAATGTTCATATCTTATTTTATGGTTTCAAAAGTGAATACAACATTTATATTTTCTCTATTTGCTCAATAATCAAATAAAAATTCAAACTAATCTTTGCAGTGTTATTTTATTTGATGGAAAAACTCATTTGTGAGTAACTTTGGCTCAAAATATGGACAGATACAGATTTATATGAGGCATGACCACATGGGTCAAAGTAGCCCCCTTTTCAAGGTAACTAGTCCAAAATCTTAAACATTTCAAATCGCATTCTAAAACAAAGTGATGTATAAAAACTTACAAGACATCAGATGATCCTCAAAAGCCCTAAAAAAGGCACCTCTAATAGCAGCTAAACATGGACCCACTTGGGTCACTCACTCTGATGTGTTCCTGCTATATTATAAATTATTTCCTGTATTTAACGAAGCTTGCAGCCATTTAACTGGCCATGTACACCTACGAACTTCACATAAAGTAGTCAGTAAAATGCTGCAGGTATTTAAAATGTTAAATCCCTAAACTGAAGGATTTCCAGCTGTAGTTTAACTACAGAGTGGCGCACAAAATGATGCCCTATTTGTTTTAACGATAAATCAGCAACCATGTTACGGATGAAGTTTTCGGTCATGTAGGTAAGTGCAGTAGTTCATGGAGATACCATTAGGTGGTATATGCATCACCTAGCTAACGCGAGGTGATTATGTCGCGGTTTCCCGCCAGTATGCAGAAGATGGCAGACAAGGGAAGACTTACGGTTCAGTTTTGTTTTTTGCGGAAACAAAAAGTGTTGTGGAAACAGAGACGGCTTCATGCCCATTTTGGTACGCGGTGGGCCCCTGCTCCAAAAACTATTCAGACTTCATCAGCAGTTTCAACAGGAAGGTACAGTGTTGGAAAAGAAACGTGGACATGCCGCAAGTGTGCATAGCCCACAGAACATTGAAACTGTCAGAGTAGCCATGCAAAGAAGCCCGGGAAAATCAACCCGGAAGGCTACACCACACACACAGAGCAAACGTTTTCTTGGACTTCCTGCATGACACTTTCGGTCCACGTGTGATTTCCCACCCATATCCTGCTTGCCACGTATGTGGACAGAAGTGGCCACCCAATAGTACAGACATAAACCCCTGCGAATTTTTCCTTTGGGGTTACCTTAAGGAAAAACTGTTTCCAAAAAAACCAGCTTCAATCATGCAACTCAGGGCTTTGATTGTTTAAATGTCTGGTGAAATTTCGGAGGATATGTGCCATCGAGTAATCACGAACATAGCCGTTCATGTTTTGGAAGTTGCACGACAGAACGGTGGTCATATTAAGCATGTAATGCATAAAGGATAAATCTCCATGAATTGTTCTGTGTGTTCATAGATATATATGTCCCATTATATGAATATTAAAGCCTTTATTTAAACGTTCAGTCGGGTATCATTTCGTGCGCCACCCTGTATGTTGTTTAACAGTTTAAAAGTATGCTATTGCAATGCATGGTCAGCTGTCTTACATGTAAGCAGTGATGCATGTGGTCAAGAAAAGATAACATTTCTATTTGAAATTATTGTTTCTGGAAACAGAACCTGAGCAAAATCGTGTGACTATACTGTTAAATGTTGTCACACTGATAAAAGGATCACAACACCCAAAGTGACCTTTCTCATGCCACTTACTTCCTGCAGACCTCTAGAATTCAGAAATTATGAAAATTGTCTCCCAGTACCTTATGAGTTACAGAATCAAAAAAAGAAACTTAAAATTATAAACACTATCCAACAACAGAATCTTAATGCTAAAAAACCGAAAGCAAGAAAACTTTGTTGTACTTACTATCACACCATCAACAAGTGGCTTCGTTCGAAAACTTGGAGGAACCATTTCTGGTGTCAGAGATGGTGGAGGATCGATACCCTTTAGTTTCTGGTTTATCAGCCACATAGATAAAGCAAACTGTTCACTGTTCAGCTTCCCACTCTGCTTTATATCACACAATGTCCTGGAATTTATAACTGCTTTCATTCACAGTACTCAGCATCAATTCAGATTTACATGATCACACAGCCATTTATTTATTTTATACAACCCATTCTTCAGTGCCTGAGCATCCGCGGGTCCCAACTTTTCACTGGCTCTGATCTAAAGACAGTCAGTAGGACTCCTTAGACGAGTGATCAGCCTGCCGCAAGGCCTCTACCTGTACACAGGACAGCACAACACAGAAAGACGTGGAAAAACATCCATGCCTTGAGTGGGAATCGAACCCACAATCCCAGTGACCAAGAGGCACAAGGCCCATGCCTCAGACCACGCGCCCACTGTGACAGCACATACAGCCATTTACTTGTAATAATTTAAATTAAGAACAACTCCCAACAGAACAAAGTTTAAAACATACAGAACAAGCTCAGAAAGTCATTATAATATCCTCATGCATTCTTTGTAATATGCATTTAGAGGTATTAAATCTACCACCCGCTTTCGCCACCAGATTGCAGCATGTCAATAGCTACCTCACAAATTTCTCCGTCATTTTATCACCGGTCACAGAATATTCCTGAAGTTCTTTAGGAGCCAGTCTCAAATATGTCTAAAGAGGGTTCTACTATAAACATAATTTTAAAATATCTGCAAGGTTCCAAGATTATTTAAGACATAAAACTGTGCCCTGAAACTCACCATATATGTGCTAACACTGCTTGAGGGACACCTGACCGAAGGAAGACATCTTTAATTTCAAGGCCAGAAACATAGCCATCTTTATCAATGTCAGTCTGATGGAACATGACATCATATTTGGTTTTCTCTTCAGCAGTTACTATCCATGGAGCTGTAGGCAGGGGAGGAATTGCGGGCTACAAGAGAACAAAATGGATACCCTAAAAACATCTCAGCAATTTCTTATGTAATCATCTGAAAAAATAAGATACAAGATAATACCACCAAGATCGATTACCTTTACAAATACTGTGATCCTATAGTTGACATAGGCAGTTAAAAATGTGCCAAAGATTATACCCATAATCACAATGCTTATTTCTATTGTTTCAGTATACTATCTGGGGTAACACTTTAAATCTGTGTTCCTGGGTGAGCTCTGGGTGCTCTAACATGACTATCTTACCAGATGTGAAAACTATCAAATGCTATAATATATAATACTATAACACCAAATAAAATGGGAATAGCTGATTCTGGAATTTTAAAAACAGGAGCATCAAACTGCAATAACTTGGTCTGAAGTATGTCTTGCTTTTGGCATGTCCAACACAGTATGTGATTACACACAAATGCATTCCAAACCATAACATTAAATCAAAATATTTTACATATAAGTTTACCCTCTTCTCTTTGTGAATGCATCAACTATCCATTTATCCTTCCACCACTGATCCACATATATGCATGTATCAGCTCAATATGAATGGATTATTGTCCTTTGGTTTCCATAGCTGACTTCAATGCAACTTAAGTTTTTAGGGATGTGGACATAAAATGCTGAAAGTTATCCAACATTTTGGCTAACAGTGATACACATTCACCATGCAGACAGAAACTGTGATGAAATGCTGGATAACCTTGTCCCCAAAAACTGATCACACGACAAATGGATTTTGATTACATTTCATATTAGCAATTCTAATTTTACTGAAACACTTTCCTGCTTGAAAAGGCATTTTCAGTACAATACAATTCCAATAAAGATAAATAAACTAAGACTCAGCTGAAATACAGCAGTGCTGCTATTTTCTCACCTTTGTGCCATCAATGCCCATAACAAGATTTGGTACTACGGGAACTGCACCTGGTAATGTTGCTGCTTGCACAGAATCTTTTCTTTTTGAAGGTGGCATTAGTTCTGGAGGAAGCGTGTTTGGGATTGTGTACTTTTCCAATGCCTTATATACAAGATGCATTGCCTAAAAACAAAATCATGCATTATGGAGCATTTCATTTTGCAAGATAGTGACTTGCATAATTCATGTAATGTTATGATAATCCTTACCACCATAAATTCATGATGATCAAGCATCCCATCTTTATCCATATCTGCCAAATCCCATATTTTCCCCAACGTATCTATTGGTAACTTTGAATCCATCAACACACCCTTCACCTGAAAATGCAAGCTTCACCATATATCCGGAATGTAAAAAGAAAAATACAACACAACTTATGCTTTTATTACCAGACCTTTCTATCAAATCCACAAACTATTCTTACTGACACAAACTGCAAATATATATTACAACTGGAGTGACATCATTTTGTGGATATTTCTTATAAGAGCCTATGTAGAATACACATGTGCTGGGCTACTTCCCTAAATTAGGCCACTGCTTGTTGTCTCTCAGTGTGACAAATTAGAGAAATTATCCTCAAGCCTCTTATCAAAATTAAGCAACACACTTTGCATCACATCAAGGAACATTAGTGTCATCAGATCTGGTCTGTAATTTAACTAATTCTAAAAAAGAATGGTTAGTTCCTCACCAATACTGCAAAACTGTGCATTATTATTTAATAAAACATCAGGAATTGGGAGTTTTGTGATTTTCACAGCAATAATTATGAAGAATTGGGCTATACTGAGTTCATACGGAAGGAATTTCCAACATTTGAAAGGTACTAGATTCCCATAAGATGCTGAGAATTTATTAAAAATAACACTATATTACAATAACTAGAGATGAGACAGTAAAGTGAACACAAAACACTTCACTACAATGTGATATCAGAGGGATGTACTATGTGAAAAAATAGACCAAATTTATTTTCAGCACACTTCTAAAATTATTTCTCTTATAATGCCAGTAAAGTAGACTTCCAGCTGGCAACTCAATTACAAGGTTATTAAAAAGAAATTGTTAAAGCCAAAGAGACCAAAACTATTGCTATATTAAACTTTTGGACATAATTCACATGAACTTGCATGAAATAAGAAGAGCCTTAGAAAATTATAAAAACATAGTAATAACTGCAATCTGTTCCTTTGAATTTGAGCTCTGATATGAGCAGCTGATAGCACAGGTTTCTGTTCAGACAATTTTAGACAATGCAGATGTTGTGTATATGGACAATGTTGAGTATTTTTAAAACCTACAAGTATCATTCACTCACTCACTCTATGGAGCAGGATATTCTTTGAAAAGTCAATTATATACTCAGCTTGTCAAATAATAGCCCACATTCTTTATGGAACCCGAATGTCCATCACTGTGTCCAAAAAAGCCCACCACCAGACTCTATGCTGAGCTAGTTGCATCCAGTTCGCTCCATCAATTCCTATTTCCTTAAGGTCCAGCTTAATGTTATCCCTCCACTTATGCCTTACGTCTTCCCAGTGGTCTCTCCTCCCTTCAGGCCTCTCAACCAATACCCTGTAAACACCCCTATAACCATGCATGCTGCATGTCCTGCCTACTTTATCCTCCTCGATTTAATCACTCTAACAATATCAGGTGAGTACGGGCCATGAAGCTCATCACTGTGATATAAATATATATTTCTTCCACATTCTTCTATCACACACTTGTTGAGTATGTTCCTATGCTGCTGCATTACCATACACCACAACATTCAACATCTCCACATCAAATAATCGTCTTCCAGTGTGTCATTCAGTGTTACTCAAACAATAAAAACATGTTCTTGTTGGGTTCTATAGTGCTGCCTTCTAGTATGAAAATTCTGAAATTGTATATACTGTGTGTTCACAAAGTGGAATGCAACCACCACTTCCCAGCTCCCAGCTGGGACTGCATGAACCACCACTTCCCAGCTACCAGATGGAACAACATGGTTCACTATTAAGTGCTACAAGGTATTCCTCATATGGGTCAAGTATTGCTCCATCAAAACAATAAAATCATTATAAGAGAGTAATGAAGTTTTTTTAATATAACATTTAGTACTTAAAAGGTGGGTTGGTAATCTAACCCTCACAATGTGTTCAAATTTTTACCTTAAAATTACTTTCTTTTATAAAAGTGGTGAAAAATAATGCACAACAAAATGTTTATGAGTGTTAAATTCCTTTCTCAATAAAGATAATACCGAGAATACAGAATTCATCTACTGTTTAAACATTACAGAAGTTCGCACAATTTGTATAATTTATGTACAAAAAGACAATGTTTGACCCATCTTTATAAAAACTTTACAGAGCCATCATAAATGTGTATGTACACGTCTGCCCTCCTCCACTGATTTTCAAACTACTGAATGGGCTTTCTTAAAACATCATGCCACTGAAGGCCATCTACCTTCACAATTTTAAAATAATTACCATCATTAATATTAGAAAACACTGTGGCAGTGTAAACTTCTGAAGTGAAAACTTGCAGAAATTGAGCCCCAAAAATTCCTTGTGCTGACATTTCTAAATGGGTTGCTCTTGAGAAACATCTGATCACTTGCGAGACTTAAGTTCTCACAGTGGCAAAGGTAATATTGTTCTTCTGGACTGTGATACTATGTGGACTTGAAGCAGATACTAGTGTTTTGGAGAAAACATACTGTCTCCATTTTTATGGCGTAAGACAGTATGTTTCTCCAAGACAATGCCATCTACGTACATGCCCACACAAAGTCACAACCCGAAAGAACATCAAGTCAGTTTCTTAAGGTGATGTTCACAACTAGTTTAATATACCTTGTTCCCAGGAATCATGCCATTAAGAGGTTGCAGAGATTCAAACAACTGGTCATATTTTGCTTTCTCAGCTGGTTTCACAGCCCAGTCACCTGACAGCAGAGAGTTGTTGATTGTTGGGGGAGATATAAGACTATTATGAACTGTTATCATTTGTGAAACATCTCCCTGAAAGAAACACTTTAGTTAATATAAAATCTGCTATATACTTCATACAGTAAACATCAGCCGATGTATAAGTACAGAATAGAAAAAGATTCAAGTTACAACGGAAAACATATGCATGTACTCAGCCCTTTGCTAATGCAGAAATATTAAAAATTTGCAATCCATTCATAGTACAATGCAGCAGCAATGACATTTGAAGGCTGTGCGATAGAATAAGCAGTTAATCCTGATTTCTCAACATGGAGGCCTGGATTTGTTCCCAGGGCAGTCCATGTGGAATTTATGGTGGACCAAGTAGCACTGGGACAGGTTTTTCTCTGAATTCTTCAGTTTCACCTGTTAAAATCATCCAACCAATGCTCCACCATCTCATGTATCATCTGGAGGACAAACACTAGGCCCATTGGGGAGTACAGCTCCACAGACATAGTTTCACCTCATTGTAAAACAAAAAAAAATAGAAACAGCATTTGAAATGTAAAAGTCTGCTAGCACCACACAGCTCTTATTTTAATGGAAAGGGCAAACAGTTTATGTGGTAAGGAGAGAAGCACAAGGTAATGTCTTAACTGAAGAGGAAAATGTAACACAGTATGAGAAGACTGAATGATTAAAAGGGATAAATATACCCAATATGCAAAACAATGTTTAAATTATATACTTAAGTTTAAGATTTCAAAGTGACATATCAGGACTATCACAATGATCTGAAAAATGGATCACTATGAAAATAAAATATCCTGTAGTACCAGTACCAATTCCCATTTTCCTTTCCTTAAATAATGCTATCTCTATAGATGATTCAAGCACTTCTTCTAACATTCCTGACTTCAAATCCTATAACTAGCACCTTAAAGTCACCACAGCACATATTCAATGAAACTTCTGTACCAACTAATCACTTTAAACAGTATATACTTAATCCCAAAGGGTTTAATGTCAATTGTGTTCCAACTTATCACTAAAAGGAAATAAGCAGTTGAACAAAACAAAAGATAAACAAAATCAGACTGAGTTTAAGACATGTATGGTGTATAAGTAAACAATATTACAATTCTGTGTGAGATTTGAGGCTCTCCAGTGAAAACGATGATGTCCTTCTGGTTTATGATATCATGTAGACTTGAAGACAGATACCAACCTTTCAGAGAAACAGTCTCCATCTTCAGGGATGAAGATGGAGGCAATATGTTTCTCCAAAATGCTGGTCTCTACCTACAAGTCAGCACAATGTAAAAACCCAAAAGAACAACACTGTAATCTTACAATTTTAATACATGAATCTTCAGTATTTGTACACCTGGTTCACTTGAACGCAGTAAGTAGTCTAGCTATACAGATATCTCGTTATTCTAAATACAGTAGCAAGCTGACATGATTGTAATCATAACAGCAAAGGCAAAGGACAAAAAAAAATTCTACGTAAAGACAAAATTCAAAAGCTGATACAACTACTTATTCAGTGGCTGCATAAGACTGCATCAGATACATTTATCAGTAAATTCAAGACAAAATATTTACTTTCTAATCTCAAGCTCTCAAACAGTACCCAAATCTTGCTGTACTCCAGCAGAATACAATTTGGGAATCAGAGGATAAGGTATCTTGAGACTTACCATTTTGGGAGGTGGTACATCTGCTGTTATGTTTACCATATTCACCTCTTTCCCAGACTGTGCAAGAGAGACAAGCTTCAAGGCCACAAAGAAACCACCTTTATTGAGGTAGCCTTTTCCTGCTGGGTCTGACAAATCCCAAACTTTACTCAGTATACTATCTGAGAGACCTGACTTCTTCAGAAACATAGCAGCATCTAAAGCTCCAACACTGCCCTGGTTATTTGGGTCCACCTGTTGACAAACAATTATAATAATCTGTCAAGCAGCAGCCATTTGTTGTTTGTTATCAACTTCCAACATTAACAATAGTATTGCATATTAAAGTTAACAGAATTTACAAGAGGAAAAACAGATAAAACTGAATTGGTTTTATTGATATCAACTCTAATTACAAATATGTTATGATATAAATTACATTCAGTGTCTCTTTTGTGAAAGTCTTACCTGCAACCAAGTATTTCTGTGAAAAATCTTATTATAATCTAAGATAAATATTTCCAAGCACTGTAAATTCAACATCTATAACAGTGGAATGTTTATGCAAACTAGATAAATGTATTGTTACATATAAAATATATTCTTATTCTTAATCTTAGTATTTGTCCTGCTTTGGCGGGGTCTGCTTTTCTGGACCAATCCTTCTTTGTCACCACCGGGTCCGCCATCTTCGTTGTCCGCCTCCATTTAGTTTTGTCGTGAGGGTCCCCTTCGGCCAGTCCGACTTCTGCGAGGTCTGCCTTGATTTTGTCCACCCATTTTCGTTTCAGTTACAAAGTATGAAGTCTGTTCTTTGATTTATTACAGAATATACCTTCCAGCAAAACTGTCTATTCAGTTCCTCAGAAAATGTCAACTCAGTTACAATTACCCACATATTTCAGCACAACGAAAAGGTGCATTAGACAGCAGAAGTAGCGCCCCATGCATTCCTGACCTTGGTACGAGACTGTCAGTCTACCTTCTACACTGTCATGGAAGGAACCTCATACTGACTACATAAAATGGATCCAAACTATTCTGGTCATGGTGATAAAGAAAATTCCCTAAACCCCTGCCAACAATCCAGCCCAATCTGTAACCAGTTACTGCTCTGATGTCTGTCAACAGACTCTTAAGAAAATACTAAGCTAATGGATTGGAAACAGTGTACATCACCAGGTATGCTATTCCATTTCTCAGCTGTTCAAAGGATAAAAAAATACAACACATTTTATATTTGTCCTAATTTACTATAGGAAACTCTAATTACACACTTTCATTATCTGTATTTTTGTATATTCACAATTATTGGTATTATGAGGAGCATCAATATCCTATCCACAGCCACATTTTAAAACCTGTTACCTGAGTCAAATCTTCTCCAGGCTTATCAGGGATTTAATGAATATGATAGGCTCAGCATCAAATAATTCTGTCACCGATTTAACATAAAAATGGCAATTGTTATATGTTCCCATTTTACTCATTTTCTCTCCGCTTGGAACATAACATGAGTCACCTGTATTCAAAGCCATTGTAGGATGTCTACTGTTAACTTAATGATCCTCTCATCAAAACTATGACATGTAAAATTACAAAAACAAATAAACAATTTTGTATGTTTTTATTCAAGCTGTCAAGTTAAACAGTTTATGAAAGTTATGAGTGAAGAACTTTGGAACTTTGACTTAATTTTCATTAAACATCAAAGTAACAGCTATGCTAATTTTGAAATCACAAATTATATATTTAACTGTGATGCTTGCCATAAAATTACTGCCAACAAGTCATACCATGACACATATTTAGTCACTTAAAAATAAATGTCCCCCAAATAAAAGAAGATGGTGAAAAATCTGTTTAGTGTACTTTATAGCAAAATTCTTTATAACAGACTACAATTATTATCACCTGAAGAATGTCAATGACTACCTACCTGTTGATAATATGCTTCATATATACCATTATGGCTTCCAGCCACCTAAAGTAAAAAAAAAATCTATTAACAATCTAAAAATTAAGAAAATATACACAATACTAATATTCAATTTGTAATGATTTGCAAAAACACTGCAAATAACAAATAGTAGCCATAAGAGTAACTATTACTACTTTATCTTGACTGTAGAATTTGAGGTTTTCAGATGAAGTGAATATAGACCAGATCTTCTGGGATGTTACACCTTGCTGCATCATGTCTGTGTGCCTACAAACAGATGAACACAATGCTCCATCTTCGGGGCTGAAACCTCAAAACACTGGCATATATCTAAAATGCTGCAAGACAACATCCCAGAAGACCACCATCTTTATCTTGGCTATTGTAGCAATACAATCAACCGTTCACATCTTTTTCATAAATATAATGCTACTACTTTCACACTGAATTAAAAATTACCCACATACTTCCTTACATTGTTGTTGTAACAGCTAAAAAATCAGAAGGTAGGAAGGATTAATCTATCTAAGTATTACAAAAGGAAAAGTGATTAAATAAAGGTATGAAATTTGTATAGAAGGAAATTATACTTCTGTATGTACTTATCTGACATTACAAAATTAAAAGTTTAAAAGGGGAGTATTGTTAAAAGAACCTGATCAACATACAAATTCAGGTTACTTGAGCTGTGAAATCAATGATTCCCTACCTAAAGCTTTCAATGTAAGTGATAATAATTACATACTGAATGAACAGAGTTTGACTCCTGGTAGGGGCAGAATTTTTTGCTGTCACATCTGGTCTGGCTGGCCCTTGGATCAAATAAGCCTCCCATCCAAATTTGAATATGGGGAAGCAGCCAGAGCATAACACTGACCACTCACCACCATTTACTGTATCACCAATGTACCTAAAAACCTTAGAGGGAGAGCAATGGCCAATAGAAAAGACAGTGTGTGGCTAAGAAAAGGCCAAGAGACTTTCCCATAAGGAGGATTGGAATTGGAATCTTCATTCACAGTCCACTCATTTATAAATTTTAAACCTGATGGTGGCAATGCAGTGCCAAGGATACAAATGTGTGAATCTTTACTCCATCCACTTCCTCAGATTAGGGACAAGTGAACTTGTGAACATATTAATAAACCCTTGGATTTCATAAAAGGCATCTGCTATAAGTGAACAAGACCAGTGAGGTATGAGAAACAGCAAATAATGCATTTGGAAACACCTTCCACTCTTGTTAAGTTTATACTCATTTGGTCATCTGCAGGATCTGTGCCACACTAACCCTCACCATCTTTATTACCTACACAACCATCACCACCACTCTCGTCAAACCTTTATAACTGTTTTCTAACTGATAAACCTTTGACCGGTGACCATTTCTTTGCTCACCAACTCATGTGCGCTGGAAGAATGGACAAATATTTTCAAATGTTTGTAAAAAGATCGCAGAATTTACAGTTTGTCACTTACTGTATAGATGTCAATAAATTGCATAACTTACAGACTGGGATACATTTGGTGAAGTGATGCATTATTGTCTGAGATATCTTCGGAAATATAACATATGTATTGTATTATTATTATTATGACTTTTTCCACCTCCTACTGTCATCTGACTATCTTATGGATCCATGGAATACAATAAAATATGTATGTAGAAGTTTTGAAAGAAGGAAATAAAATTGTGGGGTGCTTATAGGTAAGTGAGTCTCTTTATATATATATATAATTTTTATGAACTGAATTACTAGCTAAAATTATTCTGCTCAGTAATTTTTTTCAAACCAGACTACCTTCTTTTTAAGTGCATCCTTGTCTGTCAGTTCACGCACGCACGCACACACACATCCAAAAGCTAGTCAGACTGACAATATTATGTGGAATGAGTCATAAAGTAAAATAAGTGAATATTTTGTTAAGGCGTAGCAAAGAAGAGGCGTTTCAGCCATCTATCCTTACCAGAAAAAAATGTGAATGAATTAAAAAGAAAAAGACTAATTAAGCCAGCACACATATATCATGCATTATATCACATGCAAAGTAACTGAATACCAATAGGGTTTCCATTCATGGCTAAACTGTCTTTAAACCTGCCTCTAGCTCAATCTGTTTTTACAATACTTTATATTTCTCAAGTAATAGGTTGCAGTAATGTACTATGAAAAATGCAATCAAATAACACACCAATGCAACTCAGTATGTAATGAACATTTATCCAAATGAAGGAATCATAACGAAGGTTGTCCACAAATCCTGCCATGCCAAAATTTACCCAATATCATTATTATATTTGAAAACCACAATGAATCCTATATTGAGAACTGAAAGAGGGTGTGACTGACCAGTTAGCCTGATGGCCAAGAGAAAATTTAACTTCGAAACTGCAATAACACAACGCGGAAATTTCGAAGGTCTGTACTCAAGATATGCAGCATTCATTATACTACAATATCACTAAAAATTCATGTTCATGAGGAGTTCATCATCGCCCACTGACACATTAACTGATGGTTCATTATCTGTCTATAATGCTTAAACATTCGTCATAAATCCACCACAAATAAGCCTTCACTAGCCGACACAATGGCATAAAGTCCCACCCATGATTTAGTAATTTCTTTCCACAATGTTATTAACACTAGATTCATACTTAGCTAAACATGCACAACAACACTACCTGAGTCGGAGACGGCAAAGCAGCCATCTTCTTGAATACTCCCGAAAATGTTTTATTGGCTGCCCTATGAAATCTTAGCCAATGAGATTTACAATCAATATAACGTCATTATCACAATTCT